ATATTCACTACCAACTATCATCCATTTTATTTCACAGTTTTTGCTCAGCATCACATTTTTTCCATGAGAATATATGGTGGCAGTATCCTGGACTGGTTTTGTGCCACATGGTTAATATCCTTTGCTGCATGATGTTACCAATATAACTGAATTGTCCAATTATTGCTCTGTAACGTGAACAAGTAATGACACTGGAGCAAATACAAATTAGTTTGCATTTTCTTTGTAATTAATGTTTGCTTCCCTTCCTGTCTATACTAGAAAGTAGAGGCTGTATCTATATTTAAGTCATAGTATAATACCATGTCTTAAAATGAGATTTACAGTCAAATGCTAGTAAAAGAACAAATGAAGACTTTACGTCTGCTCAAAATGGAACACTTCATTTCCATTAAAAGTGTGTGTCTCTATACATGGATGGTTTAATTGTTTCCAGAATTGCCTCATTAACTTCAGAAAGGTTTACCATTACAGACCCCCACAACCATGATGCTAATTAGAAAGGTACTGGCTTTAGTCTAAGGGAAGAATTGTGTCTTCTTTTAGAGAAGGCTTATTCAGTCATTGACTGAGAGAGTCTTCCAGACAGTAGAAATTACTGCCAGGTATATAAATTCAGAAAATACTTATAACAAATGAATCAGTCCCAGAGCCAAATACACTAAACTAAGATGCTAAAATAAGCTACACTGGCATTTAAATAACAAATATTGTTAAGCAATCTGTCAAGCACAATGTCACCCAACCAAATTAATCATGACTAGTCTCCAGGCCATAAGCTGCTTCTGCACCTAACCAGTACATTTATGATTTCCAAAATATGGAGGCACTGCCAAAATTTAGGTACATCAGAGCCCACAGAGGAGAGAAATAGGAGAAACACAATTTGATTCTAGGAAGAGGTAATGTATCACTTGGTATGAAACTATAGTTGAATGAAGGTGAAGCTAATTTTAAGGAAGCTTAGTGATTTGAAAAAATAACCCTATAGTGTTCAATTATTGAGTAAAAGGCTTTGGAATACACAGTTCCTTTATATGAAGAGAAGTGGCTGGTTTTTGATAATCATTTGCAGGTAAAGCAGTCATAAGAATATAACCAATATTAGGAACATGGGACATTGCTTTTATGATGGGTCAGACCATTGGTCCATCCAGCCCAGTATTGTTCACTTCAGCTAGCTTCAGAAGTCAAAGGCAGGAGATTTTAGCCCTTCTTGGGTATCCCTGATGGTCTTCCTTCTAACTAGATCTGACTCTTATCACATACCTGGGATGAATTTAGGTAAGGATACAAATAGTAATAATTTGTATCCAAGCTACTAAGACAAAATGTTTAACAAATATGTATCTTTACATTTTTTTACCACAAATCTGATAAGTTATCCTTGTTCTGCAAATAAATGTGAATTATTTGGCTACTGTTATCCAGTTCATTTTTGTGGATTGGGAAATGCCACATTCCATGTACAGCATAGCCTACTGAACATCCTTGGCTTTTAGGTAACGGGTATATTTCTGTCCCTTTTCCCTTAAAATCCCAGAGTTATCAATGTGAAATAGTCTCAGTGGAATGCTCAAACTACTACATCATGGTGGCTATCTTGGCTGAATTCAGTTGCCATTAATTTAAATCAAACTTTTTACCCTTGGGGAACCCCCTTTACTTCTACATGTAGACATTGTGCCCCCCATAGTATATGGATGAAAATATTTTGTTTATTTAGTGTGCATATTTCTATTTGGACACTCATGTATATTCACATTTTAACATTTTATAAGGAAATAGCATTGTTCAAATTATATAAGGAAATACTTTTATCAGGAAATAACATTGTTCAAATTAGAACAGTTTTATTGAACTAAAGTCAATATTTCACACAACACGTGAAAAATTTGCACATAAAAATGTTTAGGAAGAGGAGGAGGAGCAAGGGCCAGGGCCACAAAGTCTTGCACCCCCCTTGAGCAAGTCGTACACCCTCCCAGGGGTCTTGACCCACTGTTTGAGAAACACTGATTTAAATGACAACTAACTATGATTAAGTCATAGTTGATGTGACTTAATTCCCATTTAATTGGGAATTAACCACACAATCTTATACATATCTATTTAGATGCAAGTTCAAGTGAGTTTGATGGGGCTATCCTATAAAGATGTACAAAATTGCAATATAAGGGCAACTAATGTACTCTGGATCCATTATGATTTAGTTCATCAGTAAAAAGGGTCCTGGAAATCTGGAAACAATCCATTTTTTAAATGTTTCAAACTGAGAAAGAACTCCAGTATTATTTCAAGCTCTACTTTGGGTCAAAGTTTAACTATAGTTCTTGTCTTCTCCCCAATCATGAGTCAATCCCCTGGATACTGACAAAGAGGGAGAAGGAGCAATATGTCCCTCATGTGATCAAATGCAAAAGCATTTGTATGTGTTGTATGCAAGCACAGACATTTAATCCCTGTCCAATGGCATAATCCTTCAAGCTGGAGCCCTTTGAGCTGGGACTCCATAATCAGATTTCCATCAAGTGGCAAATCTGTCAATATGACAATAGCATTGAAAACCTCCTTGAGCTTGGAAGAGTAAATGTCTGATGTACAAATAACTAATTAACTAAAATAATCTGGAGGATTACCAAAGTGTAGAGCCTAGAACAGATAGTCAAGACTAGGATGGACAGGTTCCTAGGAACCTAACAGAACAAGTTATAAATGCCATGGGAGCTGTCTCTGGTACTGAAAACTCTGTTCTGAATCTTACTGTTAGTCCTAACTAGGTTAGATCATTTTTGATTCAATAACATTTACATATGTGTAAATTCACCATTCATTGAGTATGCCCCGGCAGGATATGTCAATAGGATATAAATCTGTGTCTGCATTTCCTGAAAATGGGCAGTTTTGCCCACATGTACACTTTTTGCAATTTTCACTCAAGACTGCTTGACAGATCTACTTCTCAAGCCTTATAGGGACTTGGCTTTGGTAGAGCTAAGCCCTCACAGAAGTCTTAATCAATCAAATGATTTTTCTTGGAAGAAAATAATTTTCAAGCTCCTACCATTCCTCTCCCTCCTCTGTATTTATACCTCATCTTTTTGTCCAAACAAGAACTTAAGACAGCTTACAAATTAAAGCAAATAAAATCGAGTTAAATTATTATTCTTATGACTCAAGGTGACTTAAACTAACAAACAAATTAAAACAAACATGGCTAAAAATTCACAGCATACAAAAACATGTAATTAAACTATCATGCCCCATAAATCATTAAAAAGAAAAGCAACCTACCTGAAGAATAATATCAAGGAGGGTGCTAGTCTAATCTCTCTGAGAATAGAGTTCCAGAGCCTGGGAACAGACACCAAGAAGGCTCTTTCCCATGTTCCCTCCCTGTGAAAGTGGTGGATAGAGAGAAGGGCTGCCAAAGAAAATCTCAAAACATGGACAGATCTGTATGGGAGAATATGATCCTTCAGATAATCTGGATCTGAATCATATGAGGCTTTACAGGTCATAACCAGGAATTTAAATTGTGCCTAGAAATGGATTGGCAGCCCAGGGGAGCTATTGCAAAAAGGAAGTGAATGCTTCCTGTAGCCAGCCTCAGTTAACAACCCAGCTATAGCTCTTTAGACCAGTTGAAGTTCCCAAACACTATTTGAAGGCAGTGTGTTAATAGCAATACAAATTACCTTATTACATGGGGGAAATCCTGTGCAGAAATAGGATTTAAAAGCTGGGGAAAACCCACAAAAGCGGGTTGATTTTTACACATATCATTGGAGAATCTATAGTTTAACCTGTACAAATACCCCCAAAAATGTAATTACACACAACAATTTCACACAATGTTGCACAAAACCCATCATTAAAATGGTCAGAAAGTGGTGTTATCCTGGATCTTTTTACTTTCAAGATTTTAGCGAAAATGCATTTGCGATATTACTGTAATTGCACATTTACTCTAGTGTGAAAATCAAATTCAGTTTATTCACACAATAATCCTCCTTTCACTCGTTTTTCCGGTTTTCCCATGGTTCTGTGGGGCTGTTTTTACTTTCTGTTTTGCTTGGGCAGCAAACATTTCAGGCAGACATGAACCTTTCCACTTTCTTTTTCTAAAATTTCCTGTTCAGTAATATTTAATGGTGCTGTGCATCCCTCTGTGCATGTGTGAGTATACCATTTCAATTTCATATATGGAATTCATTCACTTTTGTGTGAAACAGAAAAGCAGATTTTTTTCACTTTTTGTGTTATTATACATTTATTCTAATTGTGAGGGATTTTCATTCGCACAATTAAACACTATTTTCACTTTATTTTTGGGATGGTTTATTTGTGCTTTATTATCTCTTTAAAGATGGAACTAGCCCCCATGTGATAAAGTCCACTGTTAAAGTGTGGTTAACCCGAAGGGATAGTAGTCAAAAGCCGCTCCTTTTTACTTTCAGAGTTTTCCAAAAGAAGCGGCTTTTGACTACTTTCCATTCGGGTTAACAACACTAACAGCGATGTCATCTGAAAATCTACCTGCTTTTGCAGGTTTTTTTTTCCTATTTAAAACCCAATTTCTGCATGGGATTTCCCCTGTGTGATAAAGTCCTAAGGCATGTGTCACTGTGGCCAGATTTGGCATTTCTAGGAATGGGTGCTGCTACTGCACAATGCACTGCTGAAACCTGAGCTTCCAGGCTCAGGATTAAATGCAGGAGTATAACCAAACTACAAAACTGTCTCTTCATTAGAGGGCAGCCGTATTCCGCATAGACAGGTTTTCATTTCATTCCTTTATCAGTCATAGAGCAATCTCTCTCTCTCTCTAATGCAAAATTCATGTAACATACATTGTTGTTGTGTGCTTCCAAGTCATTTTTGATTTATAAGGTCTATCCCAGGGCTTTCTTGGCAAGTTTCTTCACTAGGAATTTGGCATTAACATCCTTGGAGGCTGAGAAAGTGTGACTTGCCCAAGGTCACTCTGTGGGTTTTTATGCTCAAGCTGGGATTTGAACACTGGTCTCTTGAGTCCTAGTCAAATACTCAAACCACTACACCACTCTGGCCCTCATACATTAAATAAATTAAATTTGCTTCTAATGCCAATGGGTTAAAAATTAAGATTACTGATATTTCTTAAATGTAAAAAAACCCATACATTTTAAACAGTCCAAATATATTTAAATCCCTATATTAGGCTTAATGTTGAACATAAAGAAAACAAAAATAACGATCACTGAGGACCTTCACAAGTTCAACCTAGACAATGAAGAAATAGAAATAGTAAAATAATTCCCATATCTGGGATCAAACATTGATAGAAATGGGGACTGCTGTCAGAAAATCAGAAGAAGACTAAGAATGGGGAGGGCAGCTATGCAAGAAGTAGAAAAGATCCTAAAATGCAAAGACATATAACTCAGCACAAAAGTCAGAGAGTAAAGTAAGAAAGATTGTATGAAGAAAATCAATGCCTTTGAGATGTGGTGCTGGAGAAGAGTGCTGAGGATCCCATGAACAGCCAAAAGGACAAACAAATGTGCAGATCAAGCTGGAAACCTCCTGGGAAACCAAGATGACCAAACTGAGACAGTCGTACTTTGGACATATCATGAGAAGAGAGGACTCTTTGGAAAAGACAATAATGCTGGGAAGGGTGGAGGGAAGTAGAAAGAGAGGAAGGCCACATGCCTGATAGATGGATTCTATTAAGGAGGTCACAGGAATTGGGGTTGCAGGAATTAAACAGAGCAGTGGAGGACAGAGGTTCTTGGAGATGTCTCATCCATAGGGTCACTATGAGTTGAGATAGACTTGAGGGCAGTTAACAACAAATTATATTTATCCTCATACTAATTGTCTACAGGTAGTAATGATGAGGCATAAAACCTAGTGACTTTCCCTGTGATTTGTGGATCTAAATAACTGAATAAGGCAGAATCCCTATTCCCTATTTGACTTCTGATTGACCAGAAGCACCTCTGTCTTGTTTAGATTAATATCCATTTGTTCACCCTCACCCATTCCATTTCTGATGACAAGCACGAGCTTAGAAGTGAAACATATGAAAAACCAACATTAAAATGCTATTAATCCATCATGTCAGGACTTGATTGGGCAAAGGCATGAGGAATTGTAGTACTATCATCTCCCGATTTATTGTGGGATTTCAAGGTACAAGGCAAATTTCTAGGTCAAAGTCCTAATTTGAGTTAATGTCATTGAATCAATTATTTAGAAGATTGTTACATTGTAGCTCTGTCATTCAGTAGTTTATTTTTCCCACAGTATTTCTAAAACTGGATGACATGTATCTTATTAGCTTGCTGAGGTAATTTGAGGTCATACTCTCAGCCTTAGAGGAAGGCAAAGGTAAAGCCCCTCTGAACAAATCTTGCCAAGAAAACCATATGATACAGGCATCTTCGGGTCACCATAAGTTGGAAACTTGAAGATACACAACAAGAGGTAAAGAAGACATTGTGTGGCACCTTGACTAATTTATTTCAGTATAAGCTTTTTTGGACTATAGCCCACTTCCTTAGATATGCAGAATATATGCAGAGAGTAATAACATTAGAGACTAGACAGCAAAGAAAGCCATTTAACATATACTCAGAGATTTGACATATTTGATCATGAAAAGCAACTACCTGTACCAATCTGTATGAAAAGCACTATAAAATTAGCATTTGGGCTTCAAGTAGATGATTAGAGCAATCTGTCTAGATACCAACTTGTGATTTTTTTAAATTGAATTTGGAAAATAAAATTTCTTTTATTTTTTTAAAACCACCTACTCACTCTTTTTCTGCAGTTTCCCCTAGAAAACAGAAGCGTCATTGTTTTTGGAAAAATAGTGGAAATTCATGATTCAGTAAGTTGATGTACCCTTTTGCTTCTCATAATAATGTTAATAGTCTTTGCCAGATAGAGCTAGCAAAGGAAGACCACTTTCATATTCTCATCTTGTGAAATAAAATAATAAAAAGTCCTGTTTTTCAAGAACAGAAGCTCCTTGCATATCCTCCCACCCCAAGGCCTTGACATTTAACAACAGAACAACACACAGATTAACATGTAAATCACCTTCTCTCAACCAAGCTTCACACAGTATATATACCACACTCACTTCCATGCCAGCATTCTCTGAAGATGCCAGCCACAGCCTCAGATACTCACGAAACGTCAGGAATAAAATCTTCTAGAACATGGCCACATAGCCTGAAAAACCCTAAAAAAACCAAAAACAGAATCTAGGTTTTTAGCTAGTGGCTAAAGAATTAATGTGTATATCAATTTAATTAAGTGATATCAACACCTATGTAAGTGTTATTAGACTGCAGGCTGTCTAAATCTCCCTGAACACTTGGGAAGAGAAAAGGGGTAGAAATAAGAGGTGAAGGTTATGACTACAAGACTTTACTGAATTGGGTTAAAAGGCTGCAACTTCTCAATAGCACTACATCATGCATCTTTCATTCATGCAACCATAGTTGTCACTACAAAACTCAGGGCACTATAGGACCTTACAAACTACTAACCCCTCCCCCTCTTTTAAAAAAGGGGGCACTGAGTTTGCAAGTTTGTAGGTAATGGAGCTACAGACAGATATAAACATGAGTTGTCTTTCTGTTTCCTTTTTCAGATTTAAGGTGAAGCCAGTATTAACCTAGTGGAGTTTCTTTATAAAACCTTTTCTTTTTTTTTCTTTTTTTAAAAAAGAATCCATCAAAGATTTTTTTACACAAAGATACATTTTTATACCATCTTGTCATTTAAGTAAGTATAGGTGCAGAACTGGGGGTATCCCTGACAGCATGGGAAAAGAAAAGGCCACCTCTTTTCTATAACACAACTGTCATTGCTGAGGGATAATCTTCTTCATCCTCGAGAAAAGAAAGCACTTAAACTCGGTGACAGGATAGTGGGAAAGCGGATGACAATTAGTCTGTCAGCATCAAAACACTCCCCTATTGTATTGGTGCTTCACAGATTACAAGCATTCTGTGGCTCCAAACAATGACTACCACTTTTGGTTTGGGCTTTAAAAAAAACCACCTGATTACACATCCTTAATATTGGAAGGAGGCAAGATTATTATAATCTGATCTGATGAATTTCACTAAATAAAGAGATGAGCCTTCAAACCTAGGAGATAACAATCTTTACTAAATTCAAGGCAAAGATGATTAAGAAGTCTATAGTAATATTGCAGTCTGATTCCTTAAACTGAACACTGGATTCGATACTTGGAAAAGGATAATTTTGAACAAAAAATATATTTTCTCAATTAGCTCTAGACTTCCCTGCAAGTGCTTCTGTGCTGGCTGGACAATTCTGGTAGCTGTAATGTAAAACTTTTCGAAGTTCTGGCTCAATCCATATTGTGCTGCCTAAGATTATACAGTAGTAAAATCAAAAGCTTGAGCTGCTACAGCACTGGGGAATGTGTGGGAGAGAACAGTGTATGCTATAAGGAGAAAAATTAATATTCACAAACAGAAGGAGAGCAACAACCAATCCCACAGCAAACCACCCACCCCACCCAGTAGAGCAGAGAAATAAAACAGTCTTCTTTGGTGAAAACACATGAAGTACGTTTATCAAAGACAGAATCCAGACAAATAATACAAAAGGAGCAGTGATCTGGAGGTATTTTCAAGTTCAACCATAAACACAACAAAGGAATCAATGGCTGCTGCCACACTGCAAAAATAAAGCAGTTTGACACCACTTTTAACTTCAGAGGCTCAATGCTATGGAATACTGAGTACTGTAGTTCTGCAAGCTATTTAGCCTTCCTTATCACCAAACTACAACTCCCAGAATTCCATAGCACTGAGCCATGGAATATAAAGTGGTGTCAAACTGCTTTATTTTTGCAGTGTGGCAGCAACCAAAAGCTCAGTACTGGGAAATGAATGAAAGTCTTTCAGAGGTTCTGTCCAAGCTATTGCAAAACATATGACTGGAAAAACATTTTTCAGTCCACATGGACTTCTCCAGCTAGGGGGGGGGGAGGGGGGAGAAAAGAAGCTGATTAGAAAATCTGATTGATGGACATTCAGATTTCATAATACTATAGACAATCTCTTCTCTGTATTTGTTCACAATTGGCTCTGGAAATCTGGATGGGCATACCTTCAAAGACAGGGCATTCTAAAAATCTTTCTATTCCAGTGTAAAATTGAGGTGCTTCCTCTCCCACAGAGTGAAGGTTGTTTTGTTTTTCCTGTGATGTATCCTGAAACAAAAACAAACAAACAAAAGCCCAGCCTCTAGATGGGAACAACATGTTTCTGTTTGTCCTGGGAATTGCCTCTGGATGTTCTGTGAACAGGGAAACATCATGTAGATGTTTTTAAAATTCCAATAACTTTAGCAAGAGCTAGAGCTGCCTATAACTACAACATCTTGACCAAATGCAGGGCTATGACTAGCATCATCCATTTCCCCCCTCCTATATCATTTTTAAAACCTTTGCCTGATGAATAAGCCAGTGGAGCTTTAAAATGTATGATGTGCATTTTGGTTGGTTCACAAAGATATCAGTCTTGTGAATTTTGGATGAAACTGTAAGAAGGTAAGAAGACAATGAAGCTACCCCTGGATATATTTCCTCTTGTGTGTTTTCCCTCTGAGTTAAATCTAGCTAGTTAAACATTACAAAAGGCATGCTTCTGGAGGGCAATCAGACTGAATCTCCTAGAACAAATGAGTAATAAGGGAAACTGAGGTGGTACTTCAGCCTGCTGATTTCTCATAATGATGTGTCAAGATTGGGCTATACTTACTGGCATGGAAATTTAAGCCAATTTAAAGTTATGAGACAATAGAAGTATAGTGTCTAGATCAAGAGAAGTAATAGTGCCACTCTATTCTGCTTTGGTCAGGCCTCACCTGGAATACTGTGTCCAGTTCTGGGCACCACAATTCAAAAAGAATGTTGACAAATTGAAACGTGTCCAGAGGAGGGCAACTAAAATGGTGAAGGGTCTGGAAACAAAGCCCTATGAGGAACGACTTAGGGAGCTGGGGATGTTTAGCCTGGAGAAGAGAAGGT